AACTCAAACGAACGTATAATTAGAGTACTTTTTAGTAGTGATATGAAATACAGGGTGTTACATTTAAAAAAAATGAGAAAATCATGTATCTGATTTTTGACATTATATATTCTTATAAAAGTAGACTATCATTAAAAATGATTAATCAAAAAATTTTGATGTTCGATTGTTTCTTTTGAAACATACAAAGGGTCGAACCTAGTACGATTTTTATATAAAATTGATTTAAACTTCCAAAATACCCAGTATAACCTCATACATGTTGGTATTTTCTTGAAGGGCAAAGTCAGGGGAATTCAAATTTACACTTTGAAGTTATGGATCACTCTGTATAATCGAAAATAATTTTGTAAATAACATTGTTTGATATTTTCCATAATGTAGGATATATCGAACTTCCACACACTTTTGGGACACCCTGTACATATATTAACGTATCCCTGGTCTCATTGTCATCCAAGAGGCGAATCCACCAAAATTTACAGTGTAACTAACAATTTTTGTACCTAGTTGCTTGTAATTTAAAACGTTTGACTTTTTAAAAAGCTTAAAGGAAGATTAATTAATTGATTGACTACTCCAAAAGAGGTAAACCTTCTCTTTCTGTATAATATTCTGTTCATTATAATATTCTATTACATATTGTTTACCTTTTTAACACAGAGAGAAAACTACTTACGTCTTTAGTTCAGTGTTCCCCGAAACCAGTGGATATTAAATTATTGTGCACAATCCATACGAATATCATTCAAACAGTTTTTATCTGATATAAAATTACTAATCACGTTTGTGCCGACATGGCCAGCATGTATTTACTCATATACATCAATTATTATTCCTATCATAAGATCTATGGCATCCATTAAGAAAACACGAATAAGACGTTCTGCTAAAATGAAAGTCTTGCGTAATTCCACCAGCATACTGTACAATAGTCTCATGTGAAGAAGAAATTGAAGAAAGTGAATTCAAGTGCCGCACTTACTAGATGTTTCAACGAACTCTTCCAGATGCCCTTTCACTCTCAGTCTCAATCATCGCCGTCTTAGTATTCGCTACTAGGTCACGGGCATTACGAGAATCAATTAAATGATACTATTAATCCCCACACTCTTCCCACTCTTCTGTACGCGTATTGCGTGGAAAATGTCTATAAAATCTTCTTTATTTATGAAAGAAAGGGGTAGTTGTGTTTGACTAACTGAGATATAATCTTAGCACCAATGTGGACTAACATCAACTCCAAGTTTTTTGTGAGTTTATTTTTTTTTATTCTATAATTGGATTACGGTAATTAAAGTGAAAACATCATCATTAGTGATTTTTATTGATCTATACAGTGTGTTTAAAAAAAATCGTTTCTTTGACAACTGAATTAAATTTTTCGTTTTCAAGATTGTCTTCCTTTATTTGCACTATTTTTGGAAAATATAGTTTATATTTATTTTTTTAATATTTTTTTTTAAATATTGTTTATATTTAGCATATGTCAAATTAGTTAAAGAATATTAAGTATAAGGAAACAAAATTTGTTTTTTCTACAACTGCTAAAGAAGGGCTATGTTTTGTATTTTCAACCCTGTCTAAAATCGGACATTTTTTCGTTAATATTATACCTATTATTGCTTGTTTTACCTTTTATAATTGTTAGATAATGTATACACAAGAATTAAAGAAGCAAGTAGTTTTAAAATATTTATTATTTTATCAAATAAATCACCTGAAAGTAGATTTTTTTTATTAATTTTTTTAACAATTAATTAAATTATTATTTACAATTTTAACGTATAAAGAATATTGTTTGAATCTCGTGTGGGAAGTTCTTTGGTCATCTCAAACGATTTTTTTGACTCGGCTGTGTCTCGATCACCAAAGTAGAGTTTTGCACCTTAGATACAAAAAAAACTATTATTTTATGGATTTTTTCAATTTTTTAAAGACATTTTTTTCTAATTTTTTATAATTATCATATTAATCTACTGCTTATTGGTAAATAGTTATTTATCTACGACAATTCATAAAAAAATAACATTTTTATACCCCTGGGAGTTTTAACATTAACAATACTTGTTAAATTGGGTTTTCATTTTAACATTTTTTTTTTTGGGCTAGTTATATGCAAGTATATTTGTAGATTTGTAAATTTTTCAAAGATTTATATACTTCTGTACTTTTCCATCTGTGATTACAAAGTTTAGGGAAAAATTGTAAATAAAATTTTGTATGTGAACTTTTTTTTGCATTTTTTGCTACTGTCTTATTGCGGGACGAGTAGAGCGAGGTCCCGCAACATGAACGACTTAACTATATGTTTTTCCAATTTTTACTAGATTATTTATAAAATTGCGGTCATTAGAATATTATTTTCTTGTATTGTTAGTTGCATATGCATAACTTCATTCAATTTATTAACAAACAGAAAATCATATTAATTTATTCTTAACGATTTTGTAGTGTGTTTATGTTACTTTGTAAAACTTATTTAGTTTTTAAGGAAGTGGATTATTTAGTCATGTATTGTGTTTTAATTATTTTGTGCTGATTTAAAATGGAAAATAAGTACCAAAATAACATTATTACTAGATTGTAAATTTAACTAAATTCTATTTTTATAAGTTAACTTGCTGTTTTTTCATAAATACTTTCAATAACAATGTATTTATTGATTTTAAAACCAAAAAGATTTATTTTTATTTGTTTTCTATTCGCAACTTGGTGAAATAATGCATTTATTTTTAAATCTGACATATATACATTTTTGGTATTTGCATCAAGTCTCAAAATTATCTACTTTACGTAACCAGTTGCGTAATGTTAAACATTATGAAACTGGTAACGAAAAATTCATTGTGTAACAAGTTGCGAAAAGAAATAAAAATAAACCATTCTTGGTTTTAAAATTAATATATGCACTATTATTGAAAGTTTTTCTTAAAGAAGGGCAGGTTGACTTTTAAAAATAAAATTACAACCTATTTATATTTTATTTTCCATTCTAAATCAACAATACACAATACACGATAAAATAACCCACTTTTTGAAAAACTAAATAACATTAATAATGAATATGATTTTCTGTTTGTCAATAATATGAGTAAAATTATGTATATGCAACTAACAATATAAGAAAGTAATATTGGTTGCCTAGATGCACATCCCCAACTAGTCATTGATAAAGTGTATTTGTTGTGAAGTCAATAGTCTAGTTAACAAGTGATTTTTTGGCCAAACTTTTTTCTCCGCCTCCGAAAAATATGAACGAGTTGTCATTCGATTTTGAATAGCGTGTAGATGATCTCTGAAAAAATTCAAAAGCCGCTTGCAAATATTGCAAATGTTATAAACAATTAACTGAAAAAAAAAAAAAAATAGGGTTTGGTTTTTTCAAAATATCTCAAAAACTATTTGATATTTTCAAAACTTGAAAAAATATTCAAAAAGAAGAGGAAATTTCCACAAAAAAAAGTTTTATCACCTGGAACTGTAGGACCAATATTTATAATTTTCCTAGAGGGTTGAAAATACGGCCGAAAACGGAGACTCTGGTTTGCGCAAGCTTCGCTTACTAATGAATAAATATTATTTAAACTTATTAAATATAAAAATTACGAATTGAAATTTAATCATCTACTAATTTTTTCTTACTTGAACATTAACATGGCAAGTGCGATAATTGTTAAATAACAAATCTTAGATTTTTTCTTTTTTGGAGAAATTTTTGATCGTTGTCAGAAGAGATTCCCGTTGGAAAAAAATTGTTATTTTTCACTTTGTTATTAACAATTTACTTGGGTAAAAAATTAAAAGGCTTAATTAATCAGTTTTAATTTTCTAATATAATTTTTAGTACATGATATATAAGTTTTTAAATTGCCAACTCCTATGCATACGTTTTATTTATTTTTGTACCTATTTCAGTTATAATTAAATAAAGATCAACAATGCTAACATTTTAAAATTTTTTATAGAAACGTTTATGTTTTAAAGAAACACTAACTTGAATTTTAAATAAAAGATTGCTTTAGTAAAGTCCGTCTTTAGGGTTCTATTATGAAATTAGCCCCAAAAAAGGTGAATTCCACTATCTCCAACACTTGATACTATTCTATTATGTTAAAAATACATATTTACGACATTTACGTATATCTTTTATTTTTTTGTGAAAATTCAGTCGTTACTTAAATAAAACTGGTTGCATAAATAGCTATTTCGTAACCAGTTTCGTAATGTTCAACATTATGTAGTTGGCTGCATAAAGTAGATCATTTTGACACTTTTGCGATTACAAAAAATGACATTATATATCTCAAAACTAAAAAAAGTGTTTTTTTTATTAATTGCAATATAGTGTGAGTCTTTAATTCTTTTTCGTAAAATAATAGAATTGGATAGCAGTACTGTTAAAATATCGGACGTTGTCAAATTTTGGAAGATAAAAACATACATAAAATAAAATATTAAATGTACATGAACATGCAATTCTAATGCTAACGTTAAGGTTCCTTGAGGGCTAAATACTGATTACACAGCGACAAACCTATATGTTCAGACTAGAGTGAATTTTACCGCTTAGATTTCTATGCTATTTCTATACAATTTCGTTGAGAATTTTCAGTCATTCGCATTAATAAACCGTTTTTTAAAAAATGGTGAATAAGTAGTATACAGTGCTGGCAAGATCTAACCTTCATTTCTGCTTTGCTTGTATTGGAGTGAATAGTAAATTGTATCCATGTTCAGGAGAGGAAAGGATGAGGCATCGGGTTGCCAGTCGATAGTAGGCCACCGACCCGTGATTCCTGTAAATGGCAGCATTGATACTATGTACTTTCTTTTCCTACACGTGCGAAAATTATTACTATTCACTCCAACACAAGCAAATCAGTACCAACGGTTTGATCTTTCCAGCACGGTATAATATACTTACAGTTTTTATTTCTATAAAGATAGGAAAAAAATGATGTAGGTACTTATAAAATAACCTATTTTTTGTTTTTTAGGCCGTTCTCACCTTATCATCATTAATTACTTATGCTTCAGGAGGCTTTGGAAAAGAACAGTAAGTATTTTTTATACTATTAGTAGCAGATTGTATATTATATAGAAATTAATAACTTATTCTTCCTTTCTTGCTTAAAAATCATTTTCTATATGTGTACAAACCTATTTACTTAGTTAAGCGCTTCATTCGTATGAATTATGTCTGCTATCGACTTTTCTGAGCTCAACGACAAATACCGCATGCTGGCCACACAGGATTTTTTATTTTAATGTTTTTAACATTGAATAGGACTTTTAATTTTTCTGATACCACAACCTGCTATAGGAGTTATTCGTTATTCTCCTTTTAAAGAGTGACCCAGCTAATGTTTTTGGCGTATAAGACCTGTGTGACAGTTTGTGTTCCCATTAAGAATCACCAATTTTGCTATTTCCAACTTTATTTTAGGGCAAATCGGAGATAAATTGGGAAAAATAATTTAGGAAAACCATGAAAACCTAAAACACAATTCTGTTGGTTGGTTCTCATAGTAATGCTAATTGTTGGGTTTGTTTGGGTATGTGGGTTCTATCTGATGGATAGGGAAACTGACTCCAGTATCTTGGAATACTTGAGGGAGTAGGAGGTTTAATATTTGGGCATTGGTGAGAAGTCAAAGGTTTGGTTGGGCTATTTTTCTTTTCGATTTTCGTAGAAGCGGTCGATGGTTTGGATGCCAACGGGTTTGTAAGGTGTGTTGGGCGAAGGTATTGGAGCCATTCGGGAAAGATATTGTTACCTGAGCAGTTAGAAACGGGCTGAGATTGTGATGGAGATATTGTTGGTGTGTTCGTGGACTTTTTTACTAAGAAAACGAAAAGTTGGAAATTGGCTTCGTCAAAGTATGCGTCTCTATAGTGTGGTGAGTTTGCTATGCTGCTTTGTACTCAGCATAGCGACGGATGTACCTGTGCATTATAGGTATGGATAAGTGTTTCTGGGTTGCAATGGCCAAAACGACCACAGAGAGCTCAGAAGTCCATCTCGCCGACGAATGAGTAGTGGACATCGGAGAATCAATTGAGGGTGTAAGTGAATCTCACCCTCAGGTAGTCAACTTCAGCTTGTTTTACGACCTTAACTCACAGGAGATCAATGCTTAGATCAATAAGTTTTTGGTAGTTGGGATGTTTTTGGGGATTGAGTGAGACCTTTTATCTGTTACACCAGCGAGTATACTGGTACAGTAGCTTTTGGGTTCGTAGTCTTAGTTGGTTAGTCTTTTGAGCGACTGAGAGCAGAGCTGCATCATCGGCATGTAGAGAATATTGTGACAATGGGTGGTTTGGGGGTGTATATGAGGTATAGGAGAGAGGTTAGGACTGAGCCTTGAGGTACCCCTGCTTTAGGGGTGAATGTATAAGACGTCTACTTTGACCATGATGGTTCTGTCTATGCGGTAGGAATGAATGAGTTTGTTGTTGGTGAGAAGACCCATGTCCATAAGTTTCTTGATTAGTGCGACATGCCAGACTTGATCAAAAGCTTTATGAATGTAAAGAGGAACGGCTGAGGACATCTAATTGAAATTTACTGCTGTTATGTAGAGCGAAGTGAGGATATTCTGAGTGGAGTGATAGAGTCTAAAACCATGTTGGGATTGAGGTATGTCTTCACAAAATTCCCAGTACAGATATAAGAAAGATAGTACGGTATAAATCTAAGAATTTGAGATCCTTGCTTGTTTTGGGAGTTTCCAGTCAAGTGGAAAATAGGATAGGGAAAGGCAAGCGTTTAGGAGAAGGCAGAGAATGATAGACATGATTTCAGAAAGGTTTTTCGGCGTTCTTCTGTTAATGGAGTAGGATCGTGTTTTGACCTAATTGAGAGGCATAATTGATGTCATGGTGGGTGAAGGGGGTCGTAAACGGGTTTTCGACATCCAATGGGGACAGGAGCAACAAGTGTCTAATGGACGATGAGTCAAGGGGTTTTGAATATGGCTTTAAAGTGGGTTTTGTGGATTGAGGTTTTCCTCTTTGGGGGTATTATATATTACACCGTCGATGTCTATGTGGAAATGGGTTTTGGATTTTTGATCAGTGATGAGTCGGAGGTTGTCTCAAAACTTGGACCTTTGTCTGAAGTCCAAATTTGAAGTGATGTCGATCCATGACTGTTTTTATGTTGATTTATTTGAAGCCTGATCAGGGTGTTTGGGAAAGCTCTAGAGGCTGGTGTATAGAAGTTTTTTAAAATTTTAAAAATATGTCAACTTTATTGGCAAGGGGACAAATTGTCATAAATAATTCACGCCCAGAAATTTAACCCTCTGGAGCGCAGCAAAAACCCTACATTTTTTTAAATATAAGCCATCTTTTAAAAAGTAATTTTATAGAGAATTCAACAATATGACTAATAATTGTATTGCTTTTTCCCTAGTAGCATAAAAAACTGTTGTATAGTGAGATATGTCATCCGAAAGCTAATTTATTAATGATTTAATGCGTAACAGAAATTTGTTATTTTACTTTTTTACTGTCAAAGTTTCTATTTCATAACGTTGGAGATTTTCATGATTTTCCAATCATTTAAGATTAGGTTTCATTATCTTTCAAATAAAGTGTCACAATTTACAATTCTTAACAGTTTTTATCCCGCTGAAGGGCGCTGAAATTCGAAGTAAAGCAGTAAATTGTCATATTGCTGAATTATTTATAAAATTACCTTTCAAATTATTTTATATAAATAAAAAGTTCACAGGTTTATTCGGTCAATAGCTTTTTTTTTTATAAAATTTAAGCACAGACACTACATTTGTATATTATTTATTAAATATTGACCCTCACCAGAAGAAGGAACAGTGTTTTCGAAATATATGTAGTGCCTGTGCTTAAATTTTATAAAAAAAACATCTGTCACATTTGAGTTTGGAATTATTTTCTTTTCCCCCACTTGTTAAGATTAGCCCGCTTGGCTTTTATTCCACCTAGTCTTTGAACTAGGTACTACAGCGACCTTTGATTTTGCTTACTAAATATAGATGGCGATACCATTTTCGCTCGTTGAATATCTACTCATGCTCAACCCGCCGTAATTGAGTTCGATCGAATTTGGTATTGCAATCAGGCTCCATTAGAGAGTGGAGTCGAGAATTTCTATTTCTTGGTGAAGAGTCCTAATAAGGACGAAACCGGTCCAAGAATGACTTTCTCCTTAGTGGGCAAAATCAAAGGTAGAGTGTTGAAAATATTTTCTATCTCTATTTTTTTCGACGTAATTCAATACCTGGTGAGGTATTAGCCAAAAGAGTAGTTGTTGTCGTAAGAGAAACGGCTGCACATATATTATTGTGACTATTGCTTTGAGTATTATTTGATGTATTTTAAAAAAAACTATTGACTGAATAAACCAGTGAACAATTTTATTTAAATAAAATTCTACTACGGTCAGGAAATTATCCTCTTTCAAATGATGTATAACTTGACCATCCTTGCTATTTAAAAAAAAATAGACGCTTACTGATAGGCTCAGGGTATGAATATTATATAACAATTCGTCTCCTTGCCAATAAAAGTTTATTTGTTTTTTTAAATTTTAAAAAACTTCTTTGTTTCTAAGTTTCTAGAGGTATCAAGTCGTCGTTGGTACACCTTGTATGTGTATTGTATTTAAGCCATACGTATTGTAATCAAGCCAAGTCTTATATTCTTATGGGCCGACTTAACCCCTTGACCTCTTCAAGCTTTTTTTACTCTTTTGTAGAATTATGTTATTCATAATTTATATTATTTCATCGTATAATCCAATTTATTCACACAATTTTGTACCAAATTTAATTGGAGCATAGTTTATTTATGTTAAAGACATTGGATAAAGCAAATTGTTCATGAATTTAAGATTAGTTTTTGTAACTAATCTTAAATTCAGACTCTTCCATTTCATCTATATGTATTATTTGTTTTCTTTATATATTTTGGTGCGCTACCTTCCCTAGTTTTAAAACTTTGAAAACAGTGTAAGAAATGAAACAATTTCTCGTCTGGAGATAATCAAATTCATAGAATGTCCTTAAAGTTTTGGAAAAACCTTTTTTTGTTTAGGGATAATGAGATGCATAGGATGTCCTTAAATTTTTGAATTGTAATGACTTTGATTTTGGTCCCTATTTTCTTTTAGTTACACAGATAAAACAGATAACGCTTCAAAAAAAAATGTTTAGTTTTTCTGAAAGCTAGGTTTAAAATAATATTATTTTATTAAAAAACACATATGTGATATATCGCGCGACATAGCGGCAAGTTACATAGATAAAAATTTTTTTAAGAATTTCAAATTCAGAATAAAACAGTGGCTATGTGTGAGATATTCGTAATAAGAATAATAATATTTTTGGATCCTTTCAAAATCTTTATTTTGAAAAGTACAAAACTTCAAAATTGAAAACGTCAGGACAAATATTCGCGAATGCTTTCAACATTCCTCTTCTTTAGTGTAACTACATAGTACGCATATTTCTTGAAGTGTTGCCCTCTTTAAGCGGTTCTCTAAATAAATATGCAAGCATTGATTCGGAAAATATTCTGGCAGTATGCTTTGTAATCTCTGACAAACTTATATTTGCATATTTAGTGTCTGTATGCTTAGACCTGTTACTAAAATTATTAGAGCACATTCATTTAAGACAACGTTCGTTATCTACCAGAATAAGGACTCTTTACTTCTTCGTGAAGGTCGATTAAAATTTGTTCGAGCCATACTTCTTACATGGCTTGTGCTAAAACAACGTACTCTGCTTCCATAGATGAAAGCGCTACTTAAGTTTGTTTTCTGCAGCTCCAGCTCATTAGGTCTCCATAAAGTTTAAAGAAAATAGCCGCTATTTGACTTTCTTTTCTATCTTCAGCCCAGTTTGCATTTGCATAGCCGTAAATTTCGTTCCGTGTTTCATTTTGAAAAGTTTTAAGTTATCAGTACCCTTAAGTCTTTTGACTTGTAGTTATTCCTCTTGAGTAGGCTTGCCAACCTTTCGAGCTAATGTGTATCCGCCGGGAAGGTATACTACTTTGTTTTACCGC